ACAGTGGCAATGAATGCCTCCATGGGATTTGTAAACTACTTTTTCCTTAGTTACTATTTTTTTTTTACTTAAAAAACTAATTTTTTTTGGAATATCAGAAAAAAATCACAACAATTTTTCCTTGTTTATAATTGATCAATTAAAAAATGGCAAAGTGTCAGTGGGTTGTCTGTGGTAAAATTGCAAAACAGATCAATGAAGCACTGTAGAGAGCTACAGATCCTATCTTCGTTTTTAACATTTAGGATCTCTCTAAACAGGAATAAACCAGGTACTTTAATTGGACTTTCACTTCTCTCATTTCAGTAATCTAGCATAATGATTTTATGACTGACCAAAGTAACATAATGATTTAATGACTGACCAAATCTAACATAATGATTTAATGACTGGCCAAAAGAGAATGGTTGGTTTTTCTCTCCAAGATGCAATACTGTTTACCCCATAGCTTTTAGACAACCTAATGTTCCCATGAAATTCTTATATAGAAATTAGATTGGATAGATTTTAGGGGTTCTTAGATGGGAAAAATGTTGCATCTTTATTTTCATTGATTTTCATTTCTTTTGGGATCCTATGGATTTTATTTTATGCATTTAAAAACATCATCTTAAGAAGGGCTCCATTGGCTTCAGCAGACTGACAGAGGGGCCCATGATACAATAAAAGATTAAAAACCCGTGATCCAAGGCAATATTTTCTAAACTCTTCCCACAAAACCCTAGTGTCCTATACAACATGAATAGGTGATCCATAAGAAAGTTTTGACGATTAATAATATTTCTCCCTGGAATATTAACTTGAAATTGTTGTTGTTCAGTCACCTCAGTCGTGTCCAATTCTTTGTGCATCCATTTCAGGTTTTCTTGACAAAGATACAGGAGTGATTTGCTATTTCCTTATCTAGCTCATTTTACAGAAGAGGAAACTGAGGCAGAGTTAAGTGACTTGCTCAGGATCACACAGTCTGAGACCAGATTTGAACTCAGGAAGATGAGACTTCCTGACTTCAGGCCCAGCGCTCTATCCCCTTCTCCATCTAGCTGCCCCAAACTATGAAATTATCTCTATAAAATGTTTGGTATATGTAGTATTTTTTTTTGTATGAAAATAGTCTCAACTTCCTATGTTTTCTAAAATTTCTCTAGCTCCCCATTTTTTCTAGGGGCACCCCCTCCCGAAGGCCAGAATTTTTTTGGATCACTGTATTACCAGTCCAAGAAAAGTCCTTTATTCAATAGGCATTTCATTTGTTTTTGGCTAGGCAATGGGGTTAAGTGACTTGCCCAGGGTCACACAGCTAGTAAGTGTTATGTGTCTGAGGCCGAATTTGAACTCAGGGCCTCCTGACTCCAAGGCCGGTGCTCTATCCACTATGCCACCTCACTGCCCCTCAATAGGCATTTTTAAAGCAGCTACTGTGTGCCAGACACTATGCTAAGTATTGGGGATACAGCCACCAAAATATTAACACAGCCTTTCTGTGGTAGCAAAGAACTGGGAATAAACTAAATGCTCATTAATTAGGGAATCGTTAAATAAACTATGGTGCACAAGTGCAATAGAATATTGTCGTACTGTAACAAATGACAAATATGAATAATTCCAGACAATCATGGGAAGACTTATTTGAATTGATGCAGAGTGAAGTAAGCAGGGCCAATCACAAAAACAGTATATTCACCAACTGCAACCATATAAATGGAAACGACAACAAAAAAATGAAATTGCCGTGTAATTAGGATGACAAAGGTTAGTTCCAGAGAAGAGCTGAGAAAACACATCCTCTTGCTGTCACTGCATAAATGGAGGACTAGAGCTGTAGGATATTTCATGTACTGACAGACATGGTCCTTGTTTTCTTTAGTTTTGCTGAACTCTTTTCTTTTGCTTTTTCATCTTTGTTACAAGGGATGACTTGCTGAGTTGGGAAGGGGGGAGAAATATATTTGGAAATAAATGTGATGCAAAAATAACAGGCCAATAAAAGTTTTTTAAAATAAGAAAATAGGTTTTTTTGATACGAAAAAATCTCAAGATCTTAAGTCTTTCATGGTCAAATTTATTTGGGAAATGCTAATCTAGAGGAATGGAGAGAGATTTTTGTTTGGCAACGCCTCGTACAACCTGAAAATGGGCCTTTGGCAAGCCAAGTGGGATATTTGGATAATTCCCCATAATCAGATGGCAAAGATTCTAATACTTCTACAAGAAACAGACATTGTGCTCTACTGTTTAAAATGCATTAACTGAAAACAAAATCAGTGGAAAGAACACTGGACTTGGAGTCTCTGGTGTGAGGCCAGTTTTTTTCCCCCTGGCAATTCAGCTGCTGTCATCTAAATTAGCTCAATGGACAGAATGGACACAAGGAGGCCACCTAATCATTTTTCACACCAAAAATCCCTCTTCTTTTCCTCAGTAATCTTTTCCTTTTTTCCTCTGCTTCTCCTCATCCTTAACATAGGCACAAACTACTAAATTTACTAACATATTAACAATTAAATGGAGGAGAGTTCAAGTATCTCTGACATACTTTCCAGTGCAACCACGGGCAGGTCGTTTCATTTCTCTCAATGTCCTGGAAAATGAGGATAATGATACGTGTCCCACTGTCTGCACAAAGGTATTGGAAACATAATGGCATGGAATGAACAGTAGACTCGGAGTCTGGATTCCAGATCTGACTCTGCCACTAACTCGTGCGACCTTGGGCAAATTATTTTTCTTCTCTGGGTTTGTTTCCTGAAATGAGCTGGATTAGACGATCTTCTAAGATCCCTGTTAGCTCTAATGTTCTTTCCTGTGTGTTATCTGTGATCTACATACAGAAGGCTTAAGGCTGACCAAATGAAAATCAGTAAAACGATTTGAATTTGGCAATTTTTCTGAGTGCATGATCTGTGGTTTGCTGCGAGGGAGAAGGTAGAAGTGACACCCCGAAATGATAATTCGCAAAATCGAAAAGATGCGAGAGAAGAATGAAGTTATCATTATTCACTTACCTACTTGGTAAAGCTCAAACTTGGGGTAGCAGTGATGGAAAAAGCAGTTCTTTTTTAAAGTGAAAGTGAGAGGAAGAAGTCTGCCTTAGGAGTTTAATGGGCTGCTTTATGTATTTATATGCTTTGACTGAAGTTAAAAAGGTCTGCTCAGCACAATAGGTGGCTTCTAGTTGGATTTTAAAAGAAAAAAAACTTTGATCATTTCAAAAGCAATGAAGCCTGATGGACCAGTGAGAAAAGAAGGCAGTAATTTATGGCTACCATTAAGAAAACAAAGACAAAGACAGGGAAAGTTTCACTAAGTGAAGATTTACAAATGTGTATAAACCATCCTTACAACTAGAAATAGCCAGTGTTTCTCTCAGAACAAAGCAAAAGGGGAAGGGAGGGAAGAGTGAGAGACAGAAACAGACAGGGAGAAAAGGATGCAACCTGCCTGCCTTCACTGGGGATGAAAAGGTCAAAAAGACATCACCCCGCCCCGCCTCCCTCCCTTTTTAAAAGGGATCTTTTTTCCCCCTCAAATAGAAATGTGCAGCAGTACGTCTACAGGACAAACCAACCCCCTCAAATTATTCAGAGCGTGGGTGAAGGAGGTAGGAGTATGGAGAGCAAAGCCGTGTGTGAGATGGAGGTGGCAGGGTGTGAATCTGCGTGCCTACGTAGCTATGTTTGTGACTTGCAGTTTGTTGTAATAATTGTGTCCGGATGTTTTGATGATACGGGATATTCTGTTCACGGTTTCGTGTTCGGGTACACCGTCTTGGAATATCCTGGGGCCCAGAGCTGAAGCCTTGTAAGGGAGGCTTTCAGATCATTCCCCTGTAGATCTTGTGGGGCTCAGCCTCTCGAGTGACCAGGCACTGAGATCCCGATGGGTACTGACTTAAGGAGATGCTCTCCAGATGGGCCTGGGAAAAAAAAGAGCCGGTCTTTCTTAAACAGAAACAGCTTACATCACCAGTGCCAATAACGGGGCAGTGGTTGGGACCTAAACTCAGGACTGCGGTTTCTCCCTTTTATAATCCTCGTTTGCTTCAGTGTGCCTTTTTCCGAGATTTCTTTTTGGAGGGATCGTTTTAACCCAGTTTTATCTACATAAAAAATGTGTCTGCGCGCGCGTGCGTTCAGGCACAAGAGATGGGCGAGGAACAGGTGATTTTTAAGGTGCTTCCCTTTGCTTGAGATTCTGAGATTCCCCGAAAGCTGCTTTGCCCTAGCCAGGCCAGTCCCCCCTTCACCCCACAACTCTCGAGCCAGTGATGGTGCTATGGTCGAGTGGACAGCAGTTAGTGATGGAGCCAGCAGTGTTGATGCGCTCGGGAGAGGATAGGCCTAGAGGAGGTATGCTCTAGTGCAGGAGTTTGCGGCGCTGGAAGGAAGTGGGGCAGAGGAAAGAGCACTGGCTCTGGAGTCAGTGGACCTGGGTTCAAATCCTGCCTCTCTGAGCCTCAGCTTCCTCATCTGTAAAATGAGAGCCTCCTCTAGAGCCGTGCTCCTATTGGCCTTGGCTGCCGCAGTCCCTCTCACACATTAGGCACTTTAACAAATGCTCCTTGAACTGAATTCGTTTAGAAGGGAGACGATGCCTAGCACACAGTAGGCGCTTTAATGAATGTTTGTTGACCTGAATTTGCTTAGGAGAGAACAAGGTCTCTGGGTACGAGAAGGGGCTTCTGGGGGCAGGGCAACCACTTTTTCTGGGACGAGTCTTTGCCCCGGGACAAGTGCCCGAGGGAGCGGAGGCGGCCCAGCCACGTGCGCTCAGGAGGCCAGGCAGCTAGCCGGGAGCCCGCCAGGTGTGTAGGTCAGAGTCGGGCGCATGGGGGCGGGGAGAGGGACGGTCAGGAGGCCCCGCCCCCTTGGCCGGGCTGGGAGCGAGGCTGCGGGGGTGGGGGGGTAGGGGGCGGGGCCGCCCTGTCCCCGGGTGAAAATGAGGCCGGGCCCGGGGGGCGGGGCAGCTTCGGGCAGGCGGGCGCGAGCCGAGGCTGTCAGAGTGTCAGACGGACGGCTGGCGGGCGCGAGTCGGGCAGCGCGCTTCCCCTCACGCGCACTCGCGCCCCCTCCTGCGGCGGCGGCCGCTCGGCTCCGGACAGTCCTGCGCTGCGCTGCGCTCCCGCCGCCTCCGTGTCCGCGATGGGGGGCCGGGGCCGCGACTGCTCCGGGCCGGCCGGGGCGCCGCCGCTGCTCCTGCTGCTCCCCCTGCTCCTGGTGTCGGGGCTGTCGCTGTCCCCGCCGCCGCCCGAGGGTGAGCGTCGGGAGGCTAAGGAGCGGGGCGGGACGCGGGGCGAGCCCAGCGGGGGGCCCGGGGCCCGGGGGCGGCGCGCGGCGGGGCTGCTGACAGCTCCCTGCAGCCGGCCGGTGCCTGCCCTCCTCGCCTCCACTCCTCTAGTCTCTCTCGCTTTCCCCTTCCCCCTTTTCTCTCCTCTCCCTTCACTCCCTTTTCCTCCCCCTTCTCTCTTCCCCCTTTGCCCCTCTTTCCTTCCCTTTTGCTCCTCTTTCTTCCTCCCCTTTCCTCCCTCTTTTCGACTCCTGCACCCCTTTCTTCCTTCCCCTGCCCCCTCCTTCCTCCACCTTCGCCCCTCTCTTCCTTTTACCCTTCGCTCTCCCCTCCCCATTCACCCCTCTTTCTTTCTCCCCTTTCACCCTCCACCTTTCCCCCTCTCCCCTCCCTCCTTCCCTTCCTCTCTTCCCCTTTCCTCCCTTTCCTTTTCCCCCCTTCTCCCCCCTTCCCTCACTCCCTCCTCTCTTCTTGCTTTCCCTTCCTCCACATTCTAGACCCAGGACCCCTTCCCACAGACACCGCTGTGTCCCCCTCGCCTCCCTCTCTCTTTAGGCCGTGGGGTTCACTAGTGCTTTTACTTGCTGGGGGACCAGCTGCCTGGGGAGGAGGGAATGCCCTGAAGTGACCTTTTTCAAGAATAAGCCTGAATTTTCAGCAGCTGGAGTTAAGTGCTTTTGATGAGCTCGGGCTAACTCAACTTCAATTATTTCCCAAACTTGATTTTAAAAAAAATCAGGAAGATTAACTTCCACCAAATATTTCTACCAATCATAAGCACGTATGGTATGCCAGGGTATGCCAGGCACACCTTAATATCTCAGAAATGGATATCTTGTCTTCTTTTAAAGTTTAGCTGCTAATTTCTAAAATTGCAGTTAAATTTTAGTTTCTCTAGTTTGATAAATATATAGCTCCTTTTTCAAGAATAATATCTTTTAGTTCAATAAAGCCTATGCTGCTTTTGTGATTGGTAAAGTGGGCAGCGACAGATTGGGTGGACATTTGGTTGGAAGAAAAGAGGTTAACCTGTCTAGTCTCCTTCTGTTGAAAGAAGGTGGCAGCACACTTAAGGAAAATGCTGAGCTACTTGGTGAACTTCTCTTCTTTGCAGATGTGGATGAGTGTGCCAGAGGAATTGATGACTGCCACACAGATGCCATCTGTCAGAACACACCCAAGTCCTATGAGTGTTCCTGCAAGCCAGGCTACCAAGGAGAGGGCAAGCATTGTGAAGGTAAACTCAGGATCTGAAGTGCTAAGGGCGCATCAGGGACATGGTTGCCTTCACCTTGCCTGATTTCTTCATGGGCAAAGCTTCTCGAAGAGAGTTCTCCATTTCCACAATTCATACATAGGCCATGGGCTCTAAAAGTAGGAACAATTGTAGAGATATTTAGAGTCCAGCTCCTTCATTCTGCAGGAAGGAGACTGAGGACTAGACAGACTGATTTTTCCCAAGATTACACTGCTGATAACTAGCAGAGAAAGAATTAGAACCCATGTTCCTTGACTCTAAGTCCAATAGTCTTTCTGTCTCACCCCAGTGTTCTCGATCACTTTTCTTTTTAAAGCACACCTGATCCTAGCAGGCCCCACCTCTCTGCAAGAAGGAAGAGGTATTTTTCATATTTTTTCTCTGGAACTGTCATTAGTTTTCTAGTTACTCAGAGTTCAACTTCCTTTCTTTTATTTTCATTTATTTATTTTTTTGAGGCAGTCGGGGTTAAATGACTTGCCTAGGGTCACACAGCTAATAAGTGTCTGAGTTCAGATTTGATTGTGGTCCTCCTGACTCCAGAGCTGGTGCTCTATCCACTGTGCCATCTTGTTGCCCCTAGTGGTCTTTTAATTTACATTATTATAGTTATTGTTTATGTATTCTCTTTGTCCTGCTTATTTTCCATCTGCATCAGTTCATGCATATCTTTCCATGCCTCTCTGAATTCCTCTTGTCATTTCTAACCACATAATAATATCTCATTACATTCATATAGTTTTCTCAGCCATCTCACCATCAATGGGTACCCCCTTTGCCTCAAGTTCTTTGCCACCGGAAAGAGTATATATTGTACCACATGTTTTTGTCATTGACTTCCTTGGGATATATTCTTAGTACGCTAGTGGGATTGCTGAGTCAGAGGGTATGGGCAAGTTAGTAATTATTCTTGCATAATTCCAAAGTGAAATCTAGAACTGCTGGACCACTTTACAATTCCACCAGCAGTCTATCAATGAGTCTGTCTTCCAAGAACTTCTCCAACATTGCCTATTTCCATCTTTTGTCGTGGTGTTAGATAAAACCTCAGAGTGGCTTTCATTTTAATTCTTCTTACTATCAGTGATTTGGAGCACATTTTTGTATATGGTTTTCAATTCTTTAAAAGAATTGTTTATGTCTTTTTTTTTTGAACTGCTTATTTTTGGGGGAATGACTTATGGTGTTATATAGTTCCTATATATTTTGGGTATCAGACTTTAATTGGTAATATTTGACATTAATATTTTTCTTGCTCTACTGTTGCTATTCTAATTCTGTCTTTGATATTATTCATTCAAAAACTTAAATTTTATGTAGTAAAAATTGTTTACCTTTTATGATCTTTTATCCCTTTTTTTGTTATTAAGAATTCTATCTTGAGCCATAGTTGTAAAAGGTATTTCATTCTCTTCTGATTTTTTTTATGGTTTGATATTTTATTATCAGTATCCATTTTCAACTTTTTGTGATATATAGTTTAAGATGTCGGCTTAAAACTAAATTCTGCCAAATTGCTCTCCAGTCTTTCCAGGAGTTCTTGTAAAAAAAAAAAGTTCTTCCCCCAGTAATTTATGCCCTCAGTTTTATCAGGCATGAGGTTGCTGTTCTCAATTGCTTCTGTTTCTTTTCTTCCCCTAGTCTGTTCCTTTTTTCTGTTTTTTTAACTAGTACCAATTTTTTTTAAAATCATTACTGCTTTATACTATAGTTTGAAGTCTGATAATAATGGATTACCCAATCATGAGCAGATTAGTAATTTCTAAGTCTCCCTTTATTTCTGTTAAAAGTGTTTTAAATGTATATTTATATAAATCTTATGTGTATCTTGGTAGGCTAATGACCATATATTATATATTTTGTAATTATTTTGCATGGTGCCAGCAAAGGGACCCCTATAAATCTCCTTCTGACCCATTGTTTGATCCCCTTAACCATCTGTGGGTTGAGAAGTCTGGAAACTGCCAGTGACCCAGTCACCCCCATTCCTGCTTCTGGCTTGCTGTGGCCCTGGTCTGTCCTGGCACAGCCTGTACTGGACTGTGTTCCTCTCTCACCCTGGTGCAACAGACCTTACCTGCCAACATTCTAAGTTGTTTTGGGCTGGAAAATGTTTCATCCTGTCTTTTATTGGTTCTACTGCTCTAGAATTTGTTTAGCATCATTATTTACAGGTATTTAGAAAGCTTTGGGAGAGAGTCTCTGCTTCCTCTGTTTAGTGACTTTTTTTCTTTTCTTTTTTTATTAATTTATTTAGATTTATCAACAATCATTTCCATATGCTTTTGAGTTTAAAATTTTTCTCCCCCTTCCTCCCCACCACCCTCCCCAAGACAGCGCACAATCTGATATAGGCTATACATAAACATTCCTATTAAACATATTTTCACATTAGTGATGTTATAAGTAAGAATTAGAACCCATAGGAGGAACCACCAGGAAAAGGAAACAAAACTCAACAGAATGCCTCCTTGTTTTTAAAAGTGAATTCATCATGTATGGAATGCTCTCTTTTTTCTTTTTCATTAAGCTCTTCACCTTCTCTGAAACCTGAGTCAAAAAATCTCTCCCAGGAAGCCTTCTGTGATTGATCTTGTGTAACTTTGTTCTTGCATGGCATGACATTTTTCTTCATATAAAAGATAAAAACCAAGTTCTGGCTGAAAGAAAGTTGTGAACTAAGGAAACTCTTCTCTATTTTTCATATTTTTCCCTTTCAATGGTGTTTCTTACAATCTTTTAGTACGTAGTATCCTATTCTTTCAATACTATCAGAACAGGAAAGGATCTACAGATATTGTATATTTAGTATACAGGCATACCTTAGAGATATTGAGGATTTTGTTCCAGACCACTGTAATAAAGCAAATATTGCAATAAAGCAAGTCACATGAATTTTTTGGTTTCCTAGTGCATGTGGAAGTCGTGTTTGCACTGTATTGTAGTCTATTAATTGTGCAATAGTATTATGTCTAAAAAATGTACATAACTTAATTAAAATGCTTTATTGCTAAAAAATGCTAACCATCACCTGATACTTCAGCAAGTAGTAATCTTTTTGCTGCTGGAGAGTCTTGCCTCAAAGTTGATGTCTGCTGACAGATCAGGGTGGTGGTTGCTAAAGGTTGGGGTGACTTTCCCAATTTCTTGAAATAAGACAATGAAGTTTACTGGATCAACTGACTCTCCCTTTCAATGAAAGATTTCTCTGCAGCACTTGATGCTGTTCGATAGCATTTCACCTGCAGTAAAACTTCTTTCAAAATTGGAGTCAATCCTTACATAAACTGATGCAAAATGAAATGAGCAGAACCAGGAGAACATTGTACACAGTAATAACAGTATTGTATGATGATCCACTGTGAATGACTTAGCTATTCTCAGCAATGCAATGATCCAAGATGATTCCAAAGGACTCTTGATGAAAAATGCTATCCGTTTTCAGAGAAAGAACTGATGGAGTCTGAATGCAGATTGATGCTTACTATTTTCCACTTTATTTTTTCATGTTTTTTTTTCTTTTGGTCTGTGTTTTCTTTCACAACATGACTAATATGGAATTGTTTTACATGATTGCGTATATATAATCCATATCAAATTGCCTGCCATCTCAGGGAGGGAGGAGGGGACAGGATGGAATGGATGGAGGGAGAGAATTTGGAACTTCAAGATTAAAAAAAAAAAAAGAATGTCAAAATTGGAGTCAATCCTCTCAAACTCTGATGCTGCTTTGTCAAGTAAGTTTATGTAATATTCTTCAATATTGTGGTGTCTCAGGGAATAGGGAGGCCCAAGGAGAAGGAGACAGACAGGGAATGGCCAGGTCAGCGGAACAGTCAGAACACACACAACATTTATCGATTAAGTTTGCTGTCTTATATGGGCATAGTTCATGGCACCCCAGAACGACTACAATAGTAATGTCAAAGATCACTGATCACAGATCACCATAACACATATACTAATAATGAAAAAGTTTGAAATATTTCAAGAATTACCAAAATGTGTCACAGAGACATATTGTGAGCACGTGCTATTGGAAAAATAGCGCCAGTAGACTTGCTTGACGCAGGGTTGCCACAGACCTTCAGTTTGTAAAAATCAAGTTAAACGAGGTGTGCCTATACCTAGAGTTCAGCAGAAGATTTAATCTTTTTTTTTTTTTTGCCATTTTTGTGGACAAATTGAATTAGATTATCTAATAAATTTAATGAGGCTGAATATAAATTTTTACATTGGGTTAAACAAAATCAACTTTACAGGTATAAAAATGTCTTGAATGTTTAGTGGAATCCAAGCTAGAGATGAGTTAAGAGTGTGAGGCAGCATTGAGAGAAGTTTCTCTGGACTAGAGAGATGACAGTGTAACTCTACAGAGCAAAGGTAAGAATACGCATAGGGAAACACTTAACACTTACTAGCTGTGTGACCCTGGGCAAGTCACTTAACCCTAATTGCCTAAAAATTAAAAAAAAAAAAGAATACGCATAGGGGATTGTGTTCACTTCTGGGTGCTGCATTTTAGGAACGATGTTGATAAATTATAAGTTCAGAGGAAGTTGATTAGAATGCTGAAAAATCTTGAGATCATGCCTATGAAGACTGGCATGGAATGAGGAAGCAGGAATGTTTAGTCTGGAGAAGAGAGGAGCCAGGTAAGACATAATAGCTATCCTTAAGGATTCTAGTGGAATGTAAATTTCTTGAGAGTGAGGCGCGTTGAGTTTTTGTCTGTATTCCCAGAACATGGCACTGTGCCTTACATGTAGTAGGTGTTTAATAAAATGTTTATTGAATTGAATTGAAATTGCCAGTGGAAGACGGATTGGATTCAGAAAGCTGAACTAGGAACAGTGGGCAGGCTGTGCAAAGATGCACATTTTGACTTAATGTGAGTTATCTAAAAAGTAGGATGAGCGGTCTCGGGAGATAGTGGGTCATCCTTTGCTAGAGGTCTTCACACCAAGTCTGGATGATCC